TGTCCCGCCCGCCCGCTCCATCTTCCCGCCCCGCCAAGACCCCCTCCGCCGCCCTCGGCACACCGCCCCGCCCTGCTCCGCTGCAAATCACCCGTCTCGCGCGCCCTCATGGAGCCAATCGGCGCCGTGCCAGGCGCGGCGAGCGTGCATCACCCGCGGGGGGCAGCCACAATTGGCGCCTGCGAACCGCTAGCCAGGCTCCTCGGAGACCGCGCTCTTTGGCCTGGCTGATAGCGTTCGGCCGCTGCGTGTCTCCATTTACCAGCGGAGCGTCGTCTGTCGTCTGACCCTCCGAGTCGTTTCTGCCTCCGCTCGCCATGCACGCCCCGTCTTGCTGAGCACGCTGGGGCCGCATCTGCGTGCCAGCCGGCCTCGGCAGAATCACCTCAGGGTTTCCACAACGACCTGGCCAGAAATCCGCGGTTTGGATGCAGGCGCCATCAATGGGGCGAGGACTGCAGGCATGGTGTGTATTCTTCATTCAGGGAAGCTATTTGAACACCACAAATTATTGTTGGCGTTGGCGCTGCCGGTAGGCCGTCCTAGCCTTTTGTTTACCAGGGTTTTCCAGGATCCTGTACGCACTAGAACACCTTTGAATGCGAGGCGACATCGGCTGGGCTGGGCTTGTACGACAGCAGCACGCATTCTGACAGAAGGGTGCGATTCCGACATCCGCACACCACAGCCTCGGGCCTGGGCTATCTCCTCCCATGGCGCATGCCCACCAAGCCTGTGCGGAACATCTGCCTTGGATGCTAGACTCCACCATACCGTCGTTTCTGCTCCTTTTTTTTTTTCTCTGCTGGAGCAACACTGGTCTGTTTCGATGCACCGGAAACCACGCTGGGCGGCGGACGACTCCGCCAACGCACCATGGGCGGTGTGTTCTCCTGTCCCTTCCGAGGCGGCAACTGTCAGCGTTCATGCTTCTCGCCCCCCTTTTGTCCCCGTGGCATGCGAATCGGATGCATTTCCACGTCGACGTCCGCAAATCAGTCTGACCGGCGACTCGCTCCTCTCAGCCCATCACCCGTCTCATCCATGCGCCCACCCAGGGTAGCCATTTGCTCGCCCTGTACATCGATATCCCGTCTCCCCCACATGCTCGCCGCACCCGCCCCACCCGCTTGAAAAGTTTTTAAATACAATTAGCGTGTATTGGCTCCACCAGCGAGCCACTTCGATCCAGTCGATCACAGCGTCCTTTGGGTTACCGATCTGTTTTGCCAGGGTCCAACGTGTCCAACGCCCAGGCTCCCCCCAGGCTCCCCCCGCTCACGGGCCATCTCTCGGCCGTGTATCTAAGCGCACTCGTCCCATGGCAAAGCACCTGCAAACTCCTGCTATACGCCAGTTGGATACTCCGACATCGAACCGAATATGGTCGGGAAGGCTGCCTTTTCTTTCCGATTCCCGCAGCCTGCTACAGACGTGCGCTGGAGGAGCGTAGCATTGCTTTTCGGAAGAATATTTCTTCAGGCCCATTTGACAAGGACCAATGGGAAGCCTAGACGAGTCCTGCAGCCGACCGTATCAAGGAAGCTTCGCCACTTCATTTCGGACACCCTCGTGCCTCTCGCACCGGCATCTTCCCACCCGCTGTCCGCATCCGGGACGCTCCCAGCAGTGTGTCCCTATCCCCGCGGCCCCGCGGACTTTGCAGCAGAGTCGCCCAGGGGGCCGTTCGGACACCGCGGCGAAGCGTCGTCGCTGTCCTCGATCGCGACGTCATCCCCCATATGTAATCGAGGTGCGAGATCCCTCCGCACAGATCGCGCGGTCTGTAGCTACTGCACCTGAAGGCCTGCAGTCGCAGATCGACGCTGACAGCTTCATTATACAGTCGAGGATGTCCATTAATGAACTGGCTCAGGGCTAGTGCAGGCCTGGTCTGCTCGCACCTTTATACACTCTGCTGCCTCACTTTGTATAGCAGCCTCAGCCTCGCATCTGCCGGCCACTCGCTTGCTCCTTATTTACAGCATTTCAGATCACTCACTCTCCACAACCCATATTCATCCGTGGCCTTCGTCCGCGGTGTGCTCGGACTTGGACGCCCACCCAGCACATAGCCCGCACATGGTCGCGCACACATCACAGCCAAGACTGTGACCCCGAGTCTGGTATCATCTCCGAGCCGTCCTCTGCGCCGGTGCGCCCCTTGGAGCAGCAGTAGTGTTCCTCTGCTCAGCCGCGCGGATGGATGGACAACCAATCGTAGCTCTCCGCATACTGCATTGTATCGTATCTCATCGATCGTACTTCCTCAGGCCCCATATCGTATTGCTCGCCTGGCGACTGCTGGCGTGGTGCTTCGCGCCTGGTCTCTTCGCCGGCACATTTCCGCAATCTATGCGCGAGCGACGGCGACTGTATGTGTGTACTACACCCCTCGATTTCTATTGAGGTCTTCTTAGATGCATCATTCGCTCACGTCTCGGCTGGCCTCTGGTGATTCGCGCTCTAGCGATGCGAGCTCTCTGCGAGACCGTCTCGCAGCGTGTTCGCGTCCCCTCGCTTCGCGTCTCACCGTTGGACGTGAGCGGCCCGTGTTTGCAACGTGTCTGGGATACCGTGTCTAGAGCGATTTTGTTACCCTTACTCATGCTTTGACCGACATGCCATTGGGTACCACGGCGCACGCACAGTCTCAATCAGCATACAGCCTGTTGCGATGATTTACAGTAATAACAGTCATCGCGCATACATCTTCGTCGAGCATGAAGGCTATTGTGTGCGTGCCTCATGCAGTAAGACGTTCGTATCAACGTTCCAGTTAGCGTAGACGCAACGCCAGCCTAGAGTTTTGCTTCACCATGCACTGCCCGCCCACACCTCCCAGCACTCACGCCCAAAGGCTACTCAGTGTCGCTGCCGCTGTCGTTGACGGCGACGACAACCCAGGATCGCGCGCCGAGCGAACTTGACAGTCATTCAGCCTCCAGCATTCCACCCTGTACGCTGTGTAACAATGTTCGCTGGTCCTCACTGTCCAGTGTCCTCGGAGTTCGCCGGGATGGTCACGGGAGCTGCGTCTGTGATTTTATTATCCGGCAAGCTCCTTATTGTGATTGCAAGTACTTACATCGGATTGTCAATATGATAGGTCCAATGCCTAATTTGAAGACATTCAGATTAGGCTCGCGTCATGAAGTGGTAGACGTGATCCTAGAGTAGAGTTTTCATGATTGGGACTGACGTTGCATTCTTTTCTGCAGACAGTTTGCCTTGAAGCCCACTGCATATATGCCCATGCATGGTCTGCTCCATCCATGCTCTTTGCGCGTACGTCGTGTATGATCATGCTCTATGAACCCATCTTCTGCTACCTGACCTCTTTGTCTAGTTGTTCTAGTTTGTATTCGGACCTGGAGTCGCTCCTGGGTCTTTCTCCTTAAGTCTTAAGACTTACTTCTATTCTTGACTTTTGGCTACGCGGCGGACAATCAGGCGATATGTATGCTTGCATGGTCGACTAGCATTTGTTGAGGAGTCTTATCAGACAGGTGTGGGCGTGTGCATTGTTGATGTGCACACAGGATGTCATGCGCATGAGAATAGGCTCTGGCCGAATCCATGTGAAGGCAGGCCCCGAAGCAGCCTGTAATGGGAGGACGATAGCCATCCAGATGGCCAAGTGTCGCGTGGCGAGCACTATAAAGTGTCACGAGGCCTGTCACGCTCGGGTGAGCAAGGTATATGATGTGCGCCTGGCCCGTTAAGCACTTTCAAATGAAATTAAAATTAGTCCTTTTCGCACAGCACTTTCTCAACGGCGCTCCCCTCCGATCTCAGAGCGGGAGTAGATGCACCCGCATCAAATAGTTTTGTCATGATTTCTCCACAGCCGAAATTAAGATGCTCAGTCGCCAGGCACCTGAACAACGCGGCCGCGAATACTATCATATCTTTATCTCAAGGTCTTGTGGATGAACATCTCACGTTCCCCTCACCATTTCGATAAAGCGCAGTACTTCCATGTCTTATAGTCCTGGAGCTCTCGCCGGTGTCATCATCTTGATCCTGGTATATTTCACCTTCTCTGGTCGCAGAACAGCGCATCGACCCCCGCCAGGCCCCAAGCCGATTCCAATTCTAGGCAATGTACACCAACTTCCTTCTGAGTATCAATGGAGAGAGTTCGCTCAATGGGCCGTGAAATACGGTACGAGGAAGCTCCATGAACGCTTTGACTGCTGAACTTCATTGGCGTGTATAGGAGATGTTTTCTACTTCCAAATCTTCCGCAAGCCAGCGTTGGTCATCAACTCTGTGGGAGCAGCTCATGATCTATTGGAGAGGCGAAGTTCGAAGTACTCTGATCGACCCCGGACGGTTGTACTCACTGAATTGCAAGTGGGAGCTGTATATTGTATGCGCATTAGATCTGACGTAGAGTTGCAGAATGCATCTCGAATCCCACCTAGCGACCTTGCCTTACGGAAACCAGTGGCGCCAACATCGTAAATGGTTCCAGACGGCTTTTCAAACAAAGTCTTCTCAACAAAATCACAAACCTCTTGTACGGCGGGGCACGAGATGGCTATTATCTCTGCTACTGGAGAATCCGGCTGAGTTTGAGTGGCACATTAAGAGGTGTGTCCAGCAACCGACGAATTTTGTGTCATCTTGCTGGATATTAATGATCGAGTGCAGGTTCTCGGGTGCCACAATGCTGGAGATTGCTTACGGACATCCTGCAACGTCTCCCGATGACGAACTGATGAGATTCGCAGATGACACGCTCAGAAAAATATTTGTGCTGAGTGGGTCAGGCTCATCTATAATCGATTTCATCTCCGTCTGTGCGCCGTTTTCTTATATAGCATTGTTCAAGCACATGCTCATGGAGCATTCTATAGTGCGATTTGTGCCGGACTGGATGCCTGGTGCACGAGTTCAGAGGAAATCTCGTGAACTTTCACATTTGGTAAGAGCGCTGTACGATATTCCGTATGAGAGAGTCAAAAGCGCGATGGTGAGTAGAGACCGATGTAGCCTGCTTCTGCCAATAACTGACAATCTTAAAGGCAGGTGGGACGGCAAGGCAATCGTTCCTCACTTCTCTACTTGAACAGGGCTCTGTAAATGGCGGTCTCACTGAGAAAGAATACGATATCAAGGGTGCTGCCGCGCAGGTTTATATAGGTGATTTCGGCATACTTGAGGGGTATATAACGCTCAATGAACTTTTGAACTAATCAGCTGGCACTGAAACGGTGCGGTCTACATCATTGCTATACCTTACTCGTTCTTAAACGGACGGCAGACCGTTACTGTCCTTCTCACTTTTATGTTGGCGATGGTTCTGCACCCTGAAGTCTTCAAGAAAGCCCAAGCAGAGATCGACAGGGTCGTGGGACATTCGCGCCTCCCCGATCCCAACGACAGGTCTTCTTTGCCTTATTTAGAACATGTACTCAAAGAGGTTTATCGGTCTGTGGTCATTTCGACGCGCTCTGAACGATTTATCTGACCCTCCCTGATTGGCTAGTTGGGGATGCCCGGTCCCATTAGGTGAGCTCTTGTTGGCTGCTTGAACCGATCTGTCGTAGTCACTGAAGCCAATATTACCCTTAGCAATAGCCCATCAATCCATTGCTGACGATGAATATCGTGGATATCATATCCCCACAGGTTCTGTGATTATCCCGAATATCTGGTATGCCTATACACCTGTTGCTGTTGATTGTCCAGAAATACTCATGGATATCCTTATCATTCAGGGCGATGATGCGTAATCCAACAGTATACCCAGAACCAGAGCGTTTCTTGCCGGAGCGTTTCGAGAACCTCGATGCCGACACCATAGCTGCAATCGATCCTCTCAAAGCCGTATTCGGTTTTGGCCGACGGTATGAGCTTGGTCACCAGACAGTAAGGAAGGATCTGACTAGTGTGATGAGGCAGAATCTGTCCTGGTAGAACCTTCGGCGACTCGACAGTCTGGTTGACCGCTGCAAGCATACTGTCTGCTTTCGATGTTCGCAAGGCTCGAGATGCAGCGGGTGAAGAGATCACACCTGAGCCGAAATTTTCTGATGGTCTTGTCCGGTACGTGTGCAGTAAGTTGTGGTGGAGGATCGTTGACTGAGTGCCACAAAGCCACCCTCCTTCGTTCAAGTGTGATATTAAACCTCGGTCATCGAGAGAAGCAGAACTTATTAGGCTTTTGAACATGGATGGCCTAGGTGGTGTATGAGCCTTGCGCAGGGAATAGTGGAGCTACACTGTACGTCTTCACAATGTCTGAAGATCTGCAACAGTGCAGATTGCCTGTGGGTGTTTGGAGTTCAAGATGACGAGCCGACCGCTCTGAGAATGTCAAGATAGATTTAGGCTTGATTTAGCGAGTTGGGACCGGGGGCTTTCGAAATGTGGTACTTGGGAAACCACTAGCAGTTTTGACTATCCTTATGATTTGCCACACAGTTCAGAAATAAGATTTCGGACAGCAGATAGGCCTTCAAGCTTCAAAGGGTGAGGTAGCTTGTCCCCGCGAGAGGTTCTACCATGGTGGCGCAATGTATCTGTGCCAAGACATTACCTCGTCTCTGATAGTATGGCTTCAAGATCGATCTCCATTGCTGCGGAGGGTCAGCCCTGAAACATGATCAGTAGAATTGGACAAAAAGGCATAATATTCGTAGGTGTTCAAGTTCACCACATTGGGTGGAAAGAAATCCTGAAGATTTCTTACTCGGATTACACGAGCATGCAGATGGCTTTCGCCAAGCTGACTCTGAAGCAGGGGTCAGCGTGCACGACTGCTCTAGGCCGATCAGAGTACTTCGACCCGCGCTTTTCCATCAAGTTTATCGCAGCCTCCAAAGAGCTGATCACCACTGCGGGCTGTTGAATATTTGGATGTTCAATACGTCACCTGAAATGCGGGGCGTTCCTGAGCTCAATATAATGCTCGGAATCGCCTGCACTTACCATGTTTGCGTGCCCACTCAGCGAAGACTTTATGTTGCTGTTCCAGGGGGAGCTGGTGGAGATTTCCCAAGATTGGGATCCTCTTGGGGCCAGGTGGCAACGGATAGGCTTTCTTGCTTGCATGGTGTCCATACACAATGGCAGCACAAGCCCATAAGAGCCCCATAATCGCGGCTGAGGTTCCAACTTTCTGAAGGTAAGCTGTGAACAAGAGTCCGACTGGGATGAATGAGTGTGACGATGCCGATGCCGATCAAATATGAGCCCAGAACCAGTAGCCCTCCCCATGGCACATTCTCCAACCATCACCACGCGCGAGTCACCGAGGCTCTAGGGTCTACTTTGCTGTGGAACCCCAGAAAAGTAGACGAACTTCAGACATTCATCAGTCACGGGCAACGCTCGAGCAACACGTCACATGGGTGTACATGCTCGGTACTCCAGCCTCTGTCTCGTTGGACCTCATTTTTGTGTCCCCGGACGCACGCGTGTTCCATGTAGGAGTGGTGTTAAGGACTATTGAAATTGGAGTGGCCATAAATCCTTTTGAGAAGGCGGTAACGATCTCAAAGTTGTCGTATACAAGGACAGAGTAGTATCTTGCATCGCTGCGATGGATGGCAGGTGGGATAGCGGGTTCGCCCTGGAGATTGCTCGTTAAGATTGATGAACGCTTATGAGCGTGAAGCCTACCTTCCAGGCTTCGGCGTCCAAAGCGTAAAGGAGATAGTAAGTGGAGCAGATGAAGATGGCTTTGAACGTGCGTTGAGTCAGCTCGCGAACACAACCATCATATGGTCCTCACGTTCGCCCATTGCGTAGTTAGCTTGCTCGCCATTTGCCATAATCCGGGCAGAGGCGTTGCCAGTGCAGTCCGCTAAGATTGAACGTCAGGGAACACAATGAAAACATCCATAGTCGGAGACGTTCATTGTAATTAATTGGCCGACGAAATCACTTCTTCTGTGTGCATTGGTAACCGCGAGATGCACCTCCTGCGTGGAGAGTTCAGTCGATGTTCAACCTCCCAGGCATTATCGAGTGATCCTGGCACTATCACCAAGGACGAAAGAAACTGTCAACTTAAGACAGTGTCAGCATCATAGCTGTGATAAACCGGAGAGTGCCACGGCTGAGGCCACTTCAGAATTGACAGCACCCTAGCAAACAACAACATAAGGAGGACAATTGTTAGAACAACATAAAACATATGGGACAATGCAACAAAACACGGTAACAAATGTCAAAAATGCTGACATAAACGCTGCTCGCGAATCACTGCACATTGCGCAGCACGGTCCTTGGAAGCGCACCGGTCGATTATCAAAGACGATGGAAAACCCTTTTCCAATGAATGGTATACATAAGCACATGTTCAATGAATGAAGTAGACAGGCACAAGGGCACTCACTGCGATAGCGAGCGGGAACATTCAAACGTTCCCTCCCGAGCAGTAGGCGGTAAGATGCCGAAGGAGCGCATCACGACGAGTGAAATGCTCATTACAGCCATCGCATTGCACCCCTGTTGCCCGGAGATGCACGGTCGAGACGTGCTTCCCGAGGCTATCCTTGAGTAAAGCTTTCCCGCACATCGTCCCATTTGCATGCCCCCATCGGCAGGTCGTCCTGTCTTTCCCGTTCCATTCTGCAAAGTGGGCAGCTCTAAGATGTCGCCTCACGCCTCCGGGAGAGACGTCATCAAGGATGGCACCACAAGTGTTAGGGCCAATTCTCCAACAGCACCGAGAAGTAGGAGCATTCGCTGCTTGATGCATAGCAATTATTTCGCAGAGAAATGGGCTGCAAAGAAGCATGAGTAGTGGATTGGCCAGTGGATGACTCGGGAAAGACTCACAGAAAACACACTCTGACGACGAACTTGCGAGACCATGAGCAAACATAGGAAAGCTATATAAACGACCAGACTGGAAGAAAAGGCGAGGTGGCTCAAATAGTGCTGAGCTGTGAAGACATCAAAGACAGAAACGACCCATCCTGGACACGGAGCAGTTGATTTCAGAAGTATGATCAACAAGGTCCATGGTCAATTGCCGATTAGTGCGCCATGGGTATATGTGCGATCATGGCTTTAACATCGTCCACATCAATTATTACCCGCGCGGACAGAGACACACTCATGGTGGTCACTGCGGTATCAGCTCGAGCACTGGCATAGATCCCTCCACATGATTGTGTCGAAGCGATCTGTGCATGTCGTGAACCACAGAACTCGTTGTGTCCCGCTTTGAGATGCTTGGTTATGAGGACAGTAAGAAAGCCATGGTGGATATGAATACCGTCCAAACGCACCAAAAGCATCAGTCCCCCCTGGACGTGAATCAGGTCACCACTCAAAGATATCCAACCACGCCTTACCGACCATTCGAAGTGAAGAATCCAGTGAAGCGCGTACTATGTCCCCCTTCACAATAGGGAGTGGTAAGCGCGGCGAATCATATACTCGGAAGGCACACGAACTTTCTTGAGGACACCCCTCTATCTTTATTGTTATGCTAAGAGCTTAACCTGAAGATCGCAAGTGCAAACAGTGAAGGCAGAAAGTATTAGGACACTTATAAAGGCGGCAATCGACTCGAGTGTAAGGTCAGGAAGTACGGCCATGGTCTCATCCGACCCATACAACCTCAAGAGATGGTGGCATATTGCACAGGACCCAGAGTGGGTGTCAGAGGTTCGAATTGTTTCCTTGTAAGATCATGTATATCCATGGCGGTCCGAGTTTGTGACGATGGCATGGTTTGGCGCCCGATGATTTTCCAGGATGAAGACGATCTTGAATCGGCTCAAACTCATCACTCTAGGATTTTAGCGACCACCACTGACATATCAGCCATAGTCAGGATCTCGCACGCACGCACGAACCCGAGTAAGCGTTAGACTGACCAATTTGTATGATTGCTAGAGTCCCCGCCCTCCTCGCGCCATCAGCACCCTAGCACCTCCACCCAACTACTACCATATATCAGCATGTTCCACCTTCAGTGTTCCCTCTTTACGACTGCTTACAGCTGAAGTCTCCTCGTCTCTGCGTGGTCATCGCTGCTCACTCTCTTTCTCAATTTCTCTTTCAAGAGGAACCATATCAGCACCACGACCAGTCGACCACCTTCTAGTCAATTCTCCCATAAGCTTGATCCCATGTCTTTCAAGAAGGATCTGGAGAGCGAACTCTTCAATTACACCAGCGGGCGATTTCTGTAAGTCTCCTACATCTTGTCTCGTCCCTGTCTAATTCGTAATGTGACGTACCCAGCGCCAACGAGACCCTTCGCCTCCGAGAGCGCAGTCTCATCTTCAACATTCCCGGACTCGTAAAAATCATTGCTCGGACACAGCGGTGCCAGCCTGAAGCGATCGCCGGATTTCGAAAGCTTGGAGACGGTAGCCTCAACCGCGCCTTCCTCATCACCCTAGAAAGCGGCTTACAGCTCGTCGCGCGCATTCCTTATCCCCTCTTGATTCCCAAGTCGTAGGCTCTCGCCGGTGAGGTGGCTACGATGGACTTCCTCCGGTCAAAAGGGCACCCTATTCCCAAAGTTCACACCTACTCCTTTACGTCAGAGAACGAGGCAGGGATACCAAGTATGGTGATGGAATACGTTAGTGAAGGCATCGAATTGAGCCAGATATGGTTCCATCTCGAGGAAGATGGTATCATCTCTCTTATGGACCAGCCTGCCAAGCTTGAGTTTACAATGATGCCCATCGCTTTTCCCGCGGGCGGGAGCATCTATTACATAAGAGACCTTAAGGAGCTATCTGGGAAGGAGGGAATCCCGCTCAACGAGCAGATCGAGAGCGCCTCGCTCGAGAAGGAGAGGTTCTGCCTTGGGCCAGATGTATCGGTGCCGCTGTGGTATGGACGAAGGGAACAGCTGGATGCGTTTAGAGGACCGTGTACGCCGCACTTCTGCTATCTCTTCTGCCTCTTCTTAACCAGTCGATGATCTCAGATGAAGACGCTGAGTCGGTGCTAACAACGGGAGCCAAGAAAGAGCTCGCCTACCTAGACTACTTTGGCCCACCGAGGAAACCTTACCGGCGGTTCCGAAGAGAGTTCTACAATTACGAGAAGCAATCACCGTCGGAGCACGCTAAGAATCTTCGTCACTGTCTCCATCTCCCACCGTCGCTCGTGCCAGACGATGAACTCGTGAACATTTTCCGCATCCGCCACCCCGACCTGACTGACAGCCATGTCAGGGTTTGAACAGACCCAAGCAGCCTGCAGAATATTAGCGTGCTAGACCTGGCAGCATGCTGCTGTCTTACTCCTCTTCCTCCACGCCGGTATGCCCAGCGCCATCCAGAACGAAGAGGACGAAGTCTCTCAAAGGATGATCAAGCCTAAGCTACCGGGAGACTTCGGAAAGCTATCGGAAGAAGATCAAAAACAGGAGACGGAGCACCTCCGTCGTCGTCTTCTTCACTACCACTATATCCTCAGTACCGCAGCACACAACAGAATCCCCCACAATGGTCTGATTTATCCGTTGAATCATTTCCGTCGCCGCATTTTCAATCACGCGACTGCTGTGTGGGAAGGTGAGACCATTGATTTGTTGTATGCGCTGATGGATATGGTGTCTGGCTGGGCACATTCTGGGAAAGACGGCACGCCATGTCCAGTCGTGTTCACGGAGGACGAGAGAGATGCGGCGGAGAATCCGTATCAGGCACTGGCGAACGCAGAAGTGGATGAGAGGATGCTGAGGGAAAGTGTCGGTGTTGGGAGGAGACTTGGGTGCCCGTCGCTCACTACGAGACAGCTAAGGCAATCGGTCAGGAGCTGAAGCGGATGACATCAAAGGCAAATGCGGAGAACGAAGAGACAACGGAGGAGGAATGCGTTATGATCGAGGCGAGCTGGCCCCTGGACAATGTGCCCGAAGAAGAATTAGAGGAGTGCAAGTAAGGAACCAACGACCTGTATAGCCGTTCCGCGAGGTTATGATCTATCTGCTTGCTGAATCCATCACCAGTATGGGGAGCAGCTCATGACCTAATGGAGAGGCGAAGTTCGAAGTGCTCCGATCGACCCCGGACAGTTGTACTCACTGAATTGTAAGTGGGATTGTATATTGTGTGCATACTATATCTGATGTAGAGTTGCAGAATGCATCTCAAATCCCACCTATCGATCTTGCCTTACAGAATTCTGATGGTCTTGTCCAGTACGAGTGCAGTAAGTTGTGGCGGAGGACCATTGACTGACTGCCACGAAGCCACGCTCCTTCGTTCAAGTGTGATATTAAATCTCAGTCATTTAGAGAAGCGGAACTCATTGGGCTGAACACGGCTGGCCTAGTGTAAGCCCGTTCGAGCTTAGCAGGTTTTCAAGTCCACCACACTGGGCAGAAGGATATCCTGAAGAGTTCTTACTTGGATTACATGGGCGTGCACATAGCTTTTGCCGAGCTGACTCTGAAATTAGGGGCTCAAATTGGTGGACAGACTCATAGCTCAGCGTGCGCGACTGCTCTAGGCTGATCAGAGATTGATTCCTTTCCTGATGACTGCTCTCTCGAAGCACTTGCGACGGGTGTAATTCGTACTGTTTAAGATTCTGATATGCTAATTGCCTTCCCCGAACGAGGCTGTATATCACATTCGAAAGGAACGACGTGGCTGTAATAATATTCATTAGTTGAGTGGCATGTTGCGCTCTGCCATGAAAATAACATCGCATACCTTACGATACCAGATTTGAACGCGGGGACAGGCGAGACCTCTTCACCTGCTGCATTGCGGGCCTTTCGTATGTCTAGAGAAGAGAGGATGCTCGCTACAGCCAACCAAACACTATGGTCTGCGAAAATACGTCCAGGACAAATCCTGCACAAGAGGTTGAGTAAACCTACGCAATGGTACGCCAAATTATCGGCAGGTGCCCCTCATACCTTCTACCGAAACCAAATATCAACTTTCGTGGGTCGTACAGATCAGCAGTATCAGAGTCTAGAGCTTCAAATCGCTCAGGCCAAAACCGTTCAGGATCTGGATATATCTCTGGCTTCCGCGTCATGACCCTTTAAAACATGAGATGTGATAGGAGTTGACGACAGTGAGTGAACTCACCAAATGTTTGGGATAATTGTTGAACCCGCAGGCAAATGGTGTCCATCGTATTCATCGTCCTCTGTCAAACGATGAGGAACGCCTTGCCGAAAATTATGTCAGTATCGCGACTTGATAATCCAATATGTACGAGCTGTACCAAGCGGAAGCGGACATCCCCACCTGTCATAAAAGAATTGTATTATCGTTCTGTGTCAAAGGAACATGCTAAGAGGGCACGTACCGATAAACTTCTTTAAGCACACACTCAAGGTAAGGCATAGAGTCACGATCATCGAAGTCAGGGAGCCGAGAGCCTCCAGTCACTCGGTCTACTTCAGCCTGGGCTTTGAGGAACACGTCGCGATGGAGCACCATGGTGAGAATGAAAGTAGTTATCACTGTAACAGTCTACATAACATACTTAACAGAGTAGTAATGGATAATGATATGCCACGTACAGTGTCCGTCCCGGCTGAACATCAAGACAGTATTAGATGCCATGAAGTAACAAGAGGCCGCCAATAACATACCTCCATACAAAGACGTCACGGCTCCTTTTATATTCTCTTTGTCGTCAGGAGTTGGGTCGCCTTCTCTGGAACATTCCTTGATCAAAGATTCAAGAATGGACGGCTTTGCATTCCCGTTGGCCTAGACGTGATGTCTTAGATTTTTAATTGAACACGAATCAAGCTTTGGAGTGACGCACCATGTTTCCGCTTACCATTTCATATGGGATATCCAACCACTCTCGCAACAGCTCAGCAGTGTCAATGGCATGTATCCTGAAGCCAGATCCAGGAAGCCAAAGTGGCCAATACTTCACTGTTATTTAGGCATGCATCAACAAACACTCCCATAATTGAGAAAGCATTTATGCAATCACTTATAGGAAAGAAGTCCACTAATGTTGTTGTTGGACCGCCAGCTTCGATGACTGCTGTGGTTACGGTAGTCGCTAGCTTAACAAATTTGTCATCCAACGACGTCACCGTCCACCCATAAGATATCTGCATCAAAAGTGAAGCTGCATAACTATGGATTATTAGCCGCCGATTATCCAAAAGAAAAGAAAGCATACAGTTCAATATGTGCCATAAAAGCGTTGGGTGTTTGGCACAACCTTGTGAGAAGATTACACGCCTCTTGGTTGTGTAGAGGTCGATATTTTTGGATGGTGGCTTTTGTTTGAATGGCTTCCCGAAACCATCTTCGTTGGCGACGCCACGCATCCCCATAGCGCAGAAATATCGTATTTGTGGTCATACCCAGCCTGAAGAGAACACACCTGTTACAAGCGATCCTCTCCGTATCAGTAGAGGACTGACATATCGTGAATATACACGGAAGCTGGTCTATCAGAGTACCGAGTACTTCTTTTTTCCATCAATATCTGAGCAATTGAAGCAGAGCTGACGATGACAGCGGATGCACTGAAGATCCGCACAAAGACGATGTCGCCTGGGCCGGGTCCAAATGACTCAGCTCATTGCGCATCATGTGGATGAACTGTTTACCATATTTCTTTGCCCAACCAGCAAACACCCTATACTGATAATCTAGAGGTATTTGATGAAGATTTCCAAGGAACGGAATTGGCGGCGGACCAGGGGGAAGTCTGCGTGCATGGTTTCGAGTCTGGACGGTGAAGCGAACACTAATGAGGATCACTAAAACAATTCCAAGGCATAAAGGAACAGAGCCTAGTAGAGTAAGCGAGAGCATCGTGGGATCTCTCGGACGTTGAGGCTAAGAAGAGAACTCTCGCTCACTTTCTTGTATCCAGATTTATGTAGATAGAGATAAAGGGCCCGGCATTTGCCTTGTCCTTAGACTTGAACCCAATACCTGAGAACATCAAGGCAGTGTCTTCTTTACCATTGTTCTGATGAGGATATCTCTTGCATTCCAAGGAACCTTATGGAGAATGGAAGTTAATAGAGAACAAGGCACGAATCCCCCAGGCGTCGGGCTGTTACTGCTTATATGACATTTGCCTAGAAGCGAGATCTTTGTAATCATACCTAGTCCCAATAGCGTTCGCGCGACTGTCCATAATCGCGCGATTTGTGCGGAGATAGCAGTAGACCGTGAAGGTGCGAGCCGGATGAGTCTATAAGCAGTTTCGTGCGATTGATTTGGACTTACACAGAAAATCTACTCGAATGCAACACAGTACAAACTTCGTTCTCCACAACCCCGCGGACTCCTTGAATGTGTTGTACGAAATCATGCAGGGTTTTGGACGAGCTTGAAAGCCGAGTCTAAGTCTCTGCTAGGTAAACTGGACGATTGTGCTGTGAAGTAGCTTCCGCCTGAAAAACTTTCTGAAACCATTTGCTACGGCGTCGCCACTAATCGCTGTAGTGCATAAATAATGCGATCTAGTTACCTCCAACCCTGATGGATTATACATAAGTGTGTTCCGCGACTGCGGTAGCGTTAGATGACTTACATGTCGCGTATATAAACTGAATGCGACCTATAAGAGTACTTCGCGCTTCGTCTGACCAGCCGAACCGAGAACGACGACAGGCGTGTTGAGTAACCGGGAAAATATGACATCACCTGTCCCGGAATATGTGAGAATCCGGTCACTCTGTCCGATATGTACATACCATATTCGCGCATCCATCTAGCGAACGTCTTTTGTTGATAGTGCAGAGCAACATGATGAACGTTCCCTATCAAGGGCAACAGTTTGGGACCCGGAGGGAATCTGCGCTGTCGGCCAGTCAATTGTGGCTGCAGTAGATTGGTGGCAGCAAGCATAATGAGAATAGTCGAGCGAATTGTCACTACTACGACCTGAATTGACATCGCCAAGGTGGGGCAGGATTCTGGTGAAAGGAGCGTTGGGAAAACGCTACCCGAGACATTACAATGATGTAATTATTGTTGTTCCGCGTCAGACTATGACATGCCGACTCATCATACTTGAGTACCCAGAGTCCTATACACAAATTGAGGGAGGAAGAAACAACAGAAGTCAGTATGCCAGCTTCGGAGCTATCAGAGGACTCGGTTTCTTACAGTAGGCTACATAGTCGAAAATGTTCGGCAGCACTCACAAAGCATTTTCTTTAAACAAATCGTATGCAGGCTACGACGTGATACCCGTTTCGTATCATCGTTGCATTATTGTTTGTAAGCTTGTAAACTAGTACGGTGAGACATCGTCCCGCGCACATGCTACGCATAATGAAACTTGCAAGAGAGCAGAGAACTGGTCTTGATGAGAGCGAAATCTAGTAGACATGGACGATCGTGATTGGGGCCGGAGCCGAGGTATCATTGTTGATTTCAATTAGGGGAGATGAAAACGACAACCAGGCAGGGAGGCTCGAATTAGTGGCATACTTACTGCTATCACCAGTCTGAGCCTGGCGGTGTACGTTTCCAGTAGAAGATTTCAAGGAGTTTGAGGTGTAGAAATATATGATTCAAAAGGATGAAATCATCCTGGACGCCAGCAACAGCTTTTCAAAGTGGAGACCACGGACACTGATCTACGCCGAATCGTCGCCGATGTGTGGATCCCGTATCTAAAACAGGAAATTCCCGCTGCGTGTAACCGCCGATCAAGGTGCACTATGCCAGGGTCGAGCTGAAGCTGAAGACTTGCGGGGCTTCCTGCGCTTGTGCATGCATCCTCATCTCCCAACAGCGCTACACAACGCCATACCACCACCGACACGCTCTTGTGGTCAGCACGACTGTATAGACACCGCCGCGCTCGCTGGACCTCGGCTCTAACTGTGATAACATGGCTGAGCAGCTTCACATCACGCGTATTCATCTCCCGACACTTCAAACGCCTCCTACACCAGCGTCGTACGACAAGCATCGCGGTCAGGGAACTCCGCTCATCATCGACAACGGGTCCACTACACTACGCTTTGGATTTTGCACATCAGCCACTCCGCGATGCCAGCCTAATACCGTGTCAAAATACAAGGAGCGTCGGACGAACAAGCCATTGCTGCTTTTCGGCCACGGGGTCGATACGGAGAGCGGGGCAAAGTCTCAGGCAAAAACACCATGGGAGGGTGATGTGTTGTTGAACTTCGATGCTCTTGTGAGTGGAACACCTGGTCCGATACCGTGTATCATAGCGAAGTACTCACCCCGTAATGCCCTGGTCGAGAGGTGTAGGAAAATGCACTCGACTATGCTTTCATCCAACTAGGCATTGACGCCTCTAGCGTTGAGCACCCTGTACTCATGACAGAACGTCTCTGCTCCCCACTGCATTCCCGAGGGCTCACGTCTGAGTTGATCTTTGAACAATACTCCGTTCCCTCTCTGGCATATTGCGTTGATTCTGTCATGTCTTTCTATCACAACAACCTTCCGCCCTCATCTGTCCCATTCTCTTCGGATGGACTAGTCGTATCGTTCAACTCTGCATCGACATCCGTCGTGCCGATCATGCAAGGGAAAGGTCTGATGAGCCATGCAAAGCGAATACCATGGGGCGCGAATCAAGCGACCGACTATCTGCTGAAGCTTATCCAGCTAAAATATCCGACATTCCCCACTCGCGTTACGAACACTCAAAGCACGGTATGTTATAATCTTTATGTGCAATCATTCAAGTCGAGCTAATGTCGACTGCAGTGGATGTTACAGAACTTTTGCGAGTTCGCGATAGACTACCCCACACTTTTGCGTACCCTGAAAGACCCGCTTAGATTGCGTGCGTCAGAACGTATTATTCAGTTCCCGTTCATGGTAAACGCTGCAGAAGAAAAGACAGAGGAGGAACTCGCGCGCATTGCAGAACGTAAGAGAGAACAGGGCCGGATGTTGCAGGAGATTGCGGCGAAGTCTAGGATGGAGAAGGTCTGTGACACTGTCTAGTTTGTACACCATAGAGCACTGATTTTACATATATTAGCTATTGCAAAAAGAGAACGACCTGCAATATATGCTGAACCTAAGGGAAAGACGAGACGAGGAGACCAAGAAGGAATGGGAGGTGTGTCCTATGCCAACCCTTTGCACTGCCTCCAATTGGCCTTGACTGGGTTCAAATATCAGAATACTCTACAAGAGGAGGGCTTCGAAAATGATGGCGAGTTGGATAGTGCCATCAAGAAACTAGAGAGTGACCTGAAAAAGGCGCGAAAGAAGGAAGCAGATGGAGGGGAGCCAGAGGTGTGTTGAGTGATTATCCCACTAATGACAGGATAGTGACCCTATTCTAGGATCCAGAGCCTCCTTCTTTTCCCCTTATCGATGTTCCTGATGCGGATGTGAGTGAGACATTCTTGGGCAGTACTTTCACACCTGACCTAGAACATAGCTTGACGAAGATGGCTTGAGGGAGAAGCGTAAACAACGGCTCATGAAGGCAGGGTACGATGCGCGCGAACGCGCCAAGCGTGAAAAGGAGCGCGAGCGTGAAGAACGTGAAGCGGAGGAAAGAAGAGAAGAGGAAGAGCGCGATCGAGACTTGACCGGCTGGGCAGGCAAGCTGCGAAAGGAGCAAGAGGTTTGAGCGTCGGACTAATTTCTGTGGTGGATTCTAAACCCCACTTATGATAGGCAATCATGAATAAAATCAAAGAGCGGAACCGCAGGAGAGCGGCTCTCACGGACAGGAAAAGTGCCGCTGCACAGGCGAGGATGAAAAGCATTGCGAACTTGGCGGCTGACGATCGTGTCCCGAAAAAACGCAGGAAGGCCACGGGTGGTGAGCATTCAAAGTACTCAAATGCTTAGGATCGACTTCACTAATTGCATAACAGAGGATATGTTTGGAGCGGATGACGCTGACTGGGCGATCTACCGCAAGATTGTAAGATTGTCATTTATTCTGTATTATGGAGTAGACCATGTACTGAAGGATTATAGAACACGGCTGCAGCCTCGTCCGATGAAGAGGAGGACCTCGTAACCCTTCAGGCAGTGGAACAGAAGCTCCTGCAGTATGACCCATCGTTCACCGCTGAGCACACGCACGCATCCCTATCGGCACAACGCTCAGCATTGCTATCTGCGTTTCGACCACAGTACGAGGACGGCGACATAGAAGGTGGGGATATGTTTGACTTGCATAATTCATAGCTAAAGTGAACATATCATAGGCAAGACACGGCTCCACCTCAACGTTGAGCGGTGGCGAGTTTGCGAGGCTTGGTTCTCTCCCAGCATGGCGGGTATCGACTCTGCAGGGCTTGGGGAAGTTCTGCAGGGGGCACTCTCACGCTTCTCCGATCAGGAAAAGAGTCGGTTAGTCAAGGTAATAAAACTGATCTCAGCGCATCTCGAAGCTCAGACTGACGCCTGAATAGAATGTATTCGTCACTGGAGGCCCTTCGCAATTTTCAGGCCTCTTAGACCGTATGTATGCAGCGCTGCGCCCCATCCTCCCTCCAGAAATGCCTTTGGAGATAGTTCGCGCCGCAGACCCTATGACTGATGCATGGAAGGGTATGGCGGACTTCGCGAAGACAGACGAGTTCAATCGGGTTAGTGTCACGAAGGAGGAATATGAGGAATGGGGCGGGGAACGCATCAAGCGGTGGTGGGGAGGAAACTGGAATTCATCTGTACTGGTAGACTAGCGCTTGGGTGTACACTGTACCGTGTATCTTCTTGGCCCGCGGGGATGGGTTATATCTACTGTGTAATTGACTGTGAATGAATGTAGCATAGAAACCGGCGAATCCGACAGAGTTACAGGATTATAAATAAGGATGGAGCACCATCCTGGCGAGTATTCGTGACAACATGGCAGTGTGTACAACTATGCAAAGTCTATGCCCAAGAGCAATAGTGTAGCACTTAACAACATCCACTTTGGCTCTGGCTTGCAGGCTGACTGACTTTCACTGCACCATCCGTGCCTGCTGCGCCACTCGGTGCACCAGTTGCCTCTGGTTGCGAGTCAATGAGTCGTGCCTTGATGTCTCTGTTCATGTCCCAAGCGTTAGCCCTACAACACATCGCCATTGTCTTTGACCACAGACCTAGCCAATGTAAAGAATGCATCTTCAACGCCCTCGTTGACCTTCGCCGACGTCTCCATGAATTTAATGCCGAGCTCATCCGCAAGCTCTCGACCTTGCTCCTCCGTGACTGCGCGCTTGTCTGTCCAATCCGACTTATTACCGATGAGAATCTTGTTTACGCCTTCAGAGGCGTGCTGTTCGATATTGGCGTGCCAGGTGCGGATGTCTAACGAATGTAGGTAAACGCTGCGAACGAAGACTGGGAAAAGGAGGAGAGGCGCACTGTTAAACGATCGCTCATCTGTGACATCGTATACGAGGAGAATACCCATGGCACCCCGATAATATGCCGTAGTGATGGTCCTAAAGCGTTCCTGTCCAGCAGTGTCCCACTGTCAAAGGTAACAGCGGTCAAATTTTCTAAGTCATGACCACAATGAAGATGGAAAGTACAATTTGGAGCTTAATGCGCTTGCCATCGAGTTCGATTGTTCGAATCTTGAAGTCGATACCAATGGTGGTAATGAAAGAGGGCGTCCACGCATCATCGCAGAATCGTAGTAGGAGACATGACTTCCCCACTCCTGCTCACGATGTGATCAAAAAAGGCGAAAGAACGAGGTCTGGCGGTATACCTGAGTCGCCAATGAGCAGCAACTAGGGCAAGCTATCAGTGAAACGTCGGGAGGGAATCCAGTATGACTCTCACCTTGATCAAGAAGTCATAGTGAGGGGGAGGCATGTTCTGTATAGGTTCACTGAGTGCCAACAGACATACACGTTGAAGACCAAAGGTAGACGCACCAATTACCAAACGGTATGAGAGAAGTCGAGAAGAGGACTGAGCGGTGGTCGACTTGGGCATGCTCGACTGGTGCCATGCCACACGTGCCTGGGTGTGATCCGTGGATCGTCACGTTTTGATGTCCTGTCACATGTGACATGCACGCGTTTCGTGTATCCAGTCGCGACGCTGCCTCGAATGTCCCGCATAGATTTCTTTTCTTGAAGTTGTCTTGCTGCTTGCAAAATGAACCGAGGAACTTTAACCCTGCTTTCTACACAATATTTTTGTGTAATTGTATGGCGGATCATCTATCTAGATTTTTCACGCAGCCATTCCTGACGAAGACGACTGGATTCAACCGCATTGCTGTTGCGGTGGACCCACTTTAGTATACAAGGAGCTACATATTCTGCACTTGTGACAAGCGGCCTCACAATCCTCATTGCGAGAAGCCAACGAGAAGCCTCGCGTTTCAAGACACGAGGTGCTGCGAACTCTAATTTAATAGAGGCTAGCTTTGGTTCAGGAGTGGGCCACTCTCGTTCCTTCCTCAAACCCCATCGACCTGCTCGTTTCTAACGCTGGAGAGCTTGGAACTTGATAGGCATGCAGAATACGTGTGCGCCGCCCCACGCCGACAAGACTCATACACAGTTGGACATGAGCCTTTTCGAGGCTGAATCGCTGAGAGACGAGACGGCATTCGAGAACGCATTTACTGTTCTCGAAAGTTATCTTGATACCTCAGCGACCAGTGTTGAAACTGCGATAGATAGTATGTCCAGAGTCCCCCTTTTGCTCGAATTTGCCATATCAGGTCAGTAAAGGCAGTTCTTAAACCAAGCATTTCGCATAGTACTGACTACATCCAATTCCGCAGTCATATCCGATTCCAAGTTTGATTTATTACAAAATAATCTCATCAGCAATTTCCCTTGCGACCTCGAGTCATTTTGTTCCTCATTAGCTTATCGTCTCGTAGATCAGTTTTCGTTATCTCTGCTTTTCTTACCATATTCGTCTCCTGCAGAGGAACCGGGCCTACTTGGACATTATCGTCGATCTGTCCAGCTGGGTTATGCGGTACTGCAAGCTCTCGTCACACATTCGTTTCCCGAACAAGATCTCAGCCCTGAGGAGCCCGAATCTCCTGAAGATGAATTTGCAGGTTTCGCCGTGAAACGGAAGAGCCAGAAAGCCAATAAGCGAGGAAAGCGATTGCGATCCCAGTCCGTTCTTGGTTCGAAAGTATTCGATGATCTGGGAGTAGCCGTTCCGATAGACAAAATTGAAGCTGGTGAGCTGGCCACAACCATCCTCCTGGACCAGAAGGATGCTCTCCAGGTGGGTTGTTCATGTGTAGTGCAACCTGTGGCTAATATCGGAAACGCATAAGAGCTACCTGAATATCTTGCGATCCTCTTGTCTTCGTGAGGTTTTGAGGACATCGTACATACCCGTTCAAACGAGCCCAACTCCCGCTGAGAAGCCTGACATTGTTCAACCTTCAACAGTGCAAAATATTGAAGAGACACCTCCTGCATATCCAATTGTGCAACCGATGCGGGCCGCCTTATATTTCGACAGCGCAGATGGATTTGGTGAATGGCGCGTTCTTATTTCTGGTCGTGCCGATGGCGATCTCCGCCAAGCTCGCAAAAGAAATTCTGCTCTTTTCAATGTTATACTGAAGAAGATCAAGTAAAACAATGGATCTCCTCCAGGTGTTCAAGCTGACGGATGCGTGTTTACAGGGAGCTGTCAAACGGCCACTTTTCGGACGACAATCACAAACAGTTGACGGGTCCAGATACCGATGTGCCAATTTACGAGGCTAAAATGACAAGAGATTCACGTCTTGTGGTAAATATTGTCGGCTCTTTTAATAAGCTATCTGAGATGACATGTACTTGAAGTATCAGATTGACTGCGCACCTGAGTTCGAGAGCAATGTAAGTCGGGTTTTTTCGATCAGGCTCGGCGTTAACTTGCACTCGTTTCAAGGTCGAGCGACAGGGTATGACTTACGTATATTCTTCTATCCCCCTAGTCTGATGAATAAGACATACAGTAATCAAAGTGTTTGGTATATATACCCATGCGAAGTTGGATAAGCGGTTTTGGGATGCCATGAGTTACCAACTGAGTTGTAAGGGGAAGGAATATAGGCGCAGGTAAGCGCTGATTCAGACCCGTTCCTTCGTAGGAAGTGCTTCACGTTCTCTAGGTGTATCTTCCGTAATCGTCCTTCCAAGAAGGGAGGAAACGCACATGTCATCCTTCCGGCATCGTTCCCTCCTCCGGAGGACATACCTGAGACTCCGTCACAAAAGAATTTACCAAATCTCCACAAAGACGACCTCGAGAAGGTGGTGCTCACGGTTTCTCAGCATTGGCTGTCGCTGACCTCTCAACTGTTACACATAGCTCCATGAGATGCTTGTGTAGGTTTCACGATATTGAACTGAGAATACCGGTTACGGACCTACTCACGTTTGTTTCTAACATAGACTAGAGAAATACGTGACATTTTCTCAGGTCAGCTCCATGTTTTCTTTCATAATCCCTTTATGATTCATATTTCCGATAGGCGCTTTTGAATAGTACGCCGCACTGTGCAAAACGCTATTGCCTAGCTGACGTTTTGGTACAGGCATACTAGCTGATGCAGATGTTGCTCATGTATTTGATGTCTCGTGCGCATTCGTTGATGACTAATGTTAGGTTTATTATTAATGGTTCACCGATCAGGGCCCAAGAAAAAGATATTATTGAGCATGCTGCGTCCTGCTACGTCCTCGGAAGAAGTGGAACAGGGTATGCTATGTGATTTATCTGTTTCCTTGGCTTAATATGTGATTATTCCCCAACAGAAAAACGACGACGATGTTGTTCAAGATGCTAGGAATCGAGCGATCTTGGCAAGCCTATCGCGACACCCTTCCCAGCAAGCCACGTCAAATTTTCGTCACCCAGTCTCGTGTTCTAGCCGAAAAAGTACAAGAATTCTTCCTGAGATTATACGAGTCTCTGTCCACTGCAGACAAGACTCCCGAAGAGCTTCGAGTGATTGCGTCTCAAAGACAGGCTCAACAGGAGCAAGGACTTGTGGACCAAGACGAGGAAGTACATTGGCGTGGAGATCTACCAAAGCGGTTTGCTTCGTTGGACGATAGTCACTTTCCCATGTTTATGACTTTTGACCAGGTTTGTCTATTGAGTGAGACAAGCGTATTGGGGTGCTGATAGATGCCGCTACAGCTGTGTCGTCTTCTGGAGGCTGAGTTTAGTGGCTCGCCCACCATCAGCCTAAAGGTCCGTTCTCCGGATGAGCCTGGTGGTTCACTAGCAAGCCCCAGCGATACGCAAAATATCTCAAACGATTATATGCAGCAGCGTCGCGCTGCGTTCGTATCATATAGCGTGTTCTTGGAGTCGTATTGGACACATTTCCCTCAGCCATTGACCAAGGGTCTAGGTATGTCTGATAGTTATGACGTCTAGTCGGATATCTTACTTACTATATGTATAGACCCAGCGCTGGTCTTCGGCGAGTTTATGGGTATGTGGGCATATTTGTTTTCCATACAAGCTTACCTTACTTTACCTTACACAGGTGTGATCAAGGGCTCCGAACAATCACTCAACAGTGAGAAGGGATACCTGGACAGGGATGCGTATTGTGATTTGAGCCATCGCACGCAGGCGACATTTTCCAATCAACGCGAGGTGATCTACAAGTTGTTTTTGGTGTATCTCAAGCGCAAGCGGGAACGTGGCGATTATGATGCTGCCGACAGGTATGTGATTTCACTATGTTGGAGGTGTTTCTAATATTCGCATGTCGAATAGGACGCACGCCATTGTAAATGGTCTGGGGCTTCACGGTGTCCCAGGAAAGCAAGTTGACTTCATGTATGCATTTCAAAATGTGATATCTGGAGTTTATTGACTGTATATGTCCAGTTATGTTGATGAGGCACAGGACAACTTGCTTATCGATGCCCTTGGTGAGGATTTATCACCTCTTATATCGCGGCGGGTTCTCATAACCTGTCGCTGCAAGTGTTGAGAACTTTGTGCAGCAACCCAGAAACGGGATTGTTTTGGGCCGGGGATACTGCCCAGACAATTTCTATGGGAAGCGCCTTTAGGTTCAACGACCTCAAGGCTTTCTTGTACAGGATAGAGGTAATGTTTCCCATTCCTTAATTTTTACCGTCATGTATAGTGGCTAATAGACGAATAGGCTACAGGTGTTCCGAAAGAGCTTGCCAGAGCACCGCCTCGCTCCTTCCAGTTAGCAACAAACTACCGTTCACATGCGGGAATTGTTAATTGTGCGCACTCAGTGATTGAACTTATCACTCGGTTCTGGCCCAATGCAATCGATACGTTGGCCGAAGAAAAAGGCATCATCGAGGGCCTCAAGCCTGTCTTCTTTAGTGGCTGGGATGAAGACACCGTCAGATACGAACAGTTTTTATTTGGCGAATCGTGCGTACAGACCTATTGAACCGCGAGACTGGCTGACATGTATCCAGAGGAAGCCCTATTGAGTTCGGTGCTCAGCAATGTGCGTTTCGACGACGCTATTGATGGTCGGACCGTTCATGACTAAATCGTGGAATGTTCAGGCATCCTTGTTCGAGATGATGCGGCACGTGAAAGGCTACGTGCTCAAGTTGGTGATATTGGCTTGATCATGTGTGTTCCGTTCGATTCATAGTGTTTCGGGGGCTTCTAACCACTTTTTAGGACACTTTATGAAAGCAAAGGCTTAGAGTTTAATGATGTGTGCATCGTTTTTGTTTCGATATATGATGCATTATTGAGTTCCTTTGTAGGTCTTGCTTTATAACTTCTTTGCGGATTCTACGGTCGACCTGGCACAGTGGCGGGTGATTCTAAATGCGATACCCGAGCAACAAAGCAGAAAGTTTAAGGCTCCGCTGTTTGACGATGCGCGACATAATGGTGTCTGTCGTGACGTAAGTATATGAACGTCCTATCGCCGTACATCTCACATTTGAACTCATGTTCAGCTGAAATTTCTCTACGTTGCAATCACTCGCGCGCGCAAGAACCTCTGGATTGCGGACAGCTCCGACAAAAACGGTCCTATGCGGGTATGCATTGCACACCTAGGGACTGGCTGTTACTTACGGACTTCCAGGAATTCTGGACAGCCAGGGACCAGGTTCAGAACTGCACTCCGGGATCCGACGTTCCCAGTCTTGCTATGTCGTCGACGCCAGAGGAATGGGCTAAGACTGCATTCGCTTTATTCAACAATAGGCGATATATGCAAGCGATGCACTGCTATGAGCGCGCATCAATGCCTAGAGAGAAGGCGGCTGCTTACGCTTACTATCTCCGAGAACAAGCAAGGATGACTACTGTAAGTCGCGGGGACGACACGGTACGGATTGCGGCATTCATCACTGCTGCGGAGGCATTTTGGTCCTCAGCAGAAGCAGCAGTGAAAGAACGACGCTCGTATTTCCGCATCGCCGCCGAATGTTACTTATCCGGTGGTGACGACGCAAAGGCTGCCGAGGCTTACCTGCATGCGTCGGAGTTCACCCTCGCTGCTCAGCATTACCGACGAGCAGGCATGTTTGATCAGGCCGTCGGCGTCATCAAGGCCCACAGGAAAGATATGGACCAGCGCGTCGTGGAGCGAATCATCGATGTGTCCAAAATCGAATACCTCAGGGAGCGTAAGCTGAGGTGTGTCTATGTCGCTATCTTCGTTGAATAGTATCGACCTAATACCATATGACACTGATAAATAGACAAGCTCGAGAATTGTTCGAGTCAGATGAAGAAGCCTTGGAGTATATGGATGACTGCGGCTTGGATGTTGCACGAGCCACCTTGCTTGAAGAACTGGAACGATTTCCAGAGGCGGCAGAACTGCATCTAACTGAAGGCCGCACCGCAGAAGCGATCAAGCTGCTTGTCAAGGACAAGAGGAATCCCGACTCACGTCAACGTGCGTTTCGTTGGCTGCTGAGTGGACTGTGGCGTGGTCTGTCCCTCGGGGTTAGTCCAGCCTCGGATTTGGCCAAAGAAAATGATACTCTGCAAGAACTGCTTTCCATGTTGTCAGCAATACAACCGGAGCACGCGGACGAGATGGCGCAGGACGAGGTGAGCTGGGTGCCGTAATGGTGCCGGAAATGAGAGCTCAGTGATGACATAGATATTGATGTTCAAAGCAATTGTGTCTGGGAACTCGGCGATGCTTCTCGAACTTGGTACACGGTTTCATCGTTGGCACAAGGATGATGCCGCGTCGTTACTGTGTTTCGATTACGTGTTTTCAAGCGCACCGAAGATCCAAGTTGCGCCGCTCCAGTTTGTTGCAGCTACACTCCAAGAGTTTCTTCTTTATGCGAGGTTATTACAGAGGTACGCCTGTGACTCGCACCCATGCCTCAACGAAGATATTCGGAGGTTATTCGGCTTTGAGACAGCGACAGAAGAGTTTTTCTTGGTTCCCCGCGAAACGCTGCTCTTCACTCGATGTAACGACCACCCGACGTCCACAGTTCGGGACGCGGATCGAGGCCTCATGATATTGGGTTGGGAGCTCAACAACATTCTACGATTCGTACTCCGAGACCGCCTCCATAAACGGGTTCTTGATGAAAACGATATTTGTTGCAAGGCCCAGGCATTTAGACCCTGCCTCCCTTTTACCGTGTTCGGCAGATGCACTCGATCGGAATCATCGGCTTGTCCTCAAGAGCATATTCATGCCAAAGATTATAGTATTGATGTATTCAATCTTCGCGTCCGAGTTCATATCCAGCAAATACTCATATATAACACCTTGTACTCCATTGAGCACCCACTTAAACAAGCAAGGCAACACCGGTGCGTATTTTATGTTGTAGTGGTCAATGGACCTGACGTTTGATTGATTGTTCTAGACATTGGCTCCGCCAACTACACGATGCTTTATTCCCCCCGGCGTACAAGATGGGGTCTATACACAATCTTCGAGAGCTTAGTATTCCTGAGTTCGACGAAGGCATTCAGATTGTGAAAAACTGGGTCGTTCAATCGCTCTATGATCTAACGGCTTTTGGCCCTGGTGGTTATCGTCCCACTTTTTTGACATCATTGCTAAGAGCTACCACTCTCGCACATGCTTTCGGCAGGGAAACTATAGAAAGCCATACTTTTCGTGTCCGCTGTATTTCTGTTGCAAGACCTCCTGTGCTCCTGAGAGGCAAAGAGGGCGATCGGGCCTACGTTGTGCATGACTTGCTCGGTTTTTTGAACAACGATCTCTCACCTTCACTGGTAAGGGGTATTTTATTCATTCGGTGAGTCCAGTCTGCCTCCGGTGTCATCTACCAGGTTCCTGACACGTATCTACTCACTTCAGCCATATCCTCGAAAACCACATTCCCATAGACGTCAATGTTTTATGTGATACCATGGACATATTGTGCACTTGGCTTGTGCTGTTCTATCGATATCAGTCGAACTCTTCTCTACATTCTTTGCATGATATTACACTCCCTCGGAGCTGGTTGATGCGCACGAGCAATCACTTGTGGAAACTGGACAGCTTCCGAGACATCAAATTGCTGCATCTGTATCTTGAGCCTATGGCAGATCTGTTGGTGCATATGTATACGGGCCTAAATGCGGGTAAATTCTCGAAAATCATCTCACTCTATATTTCCGTCTAATTCCTTACAACAGGTTACCTGCTGTTCGAAAATCGCGATTTGTCCACGCTAGGATATCAAATTCGCAATGCATTCACGGTTCGAGTGTGGGTACTCTGAACATACTATTTAGTCATCACTGACGACGCTGACGATGAAATTCAGTTGTAGAAACATCTGTTTGTGTACGTGTCTCCCTCTTGACCAGGATCTATGCTGTGAACTAACGAAATGTTTAGTGGGCTATAATACGAGATCTCATTACTTCAGGGACATGATCCTGCGAGCTATTACATCGTTACGCAACCACGGCCGAAAATTTGAGGAGAATCTGGATCCGTGAGTGGTTGCTAAAGCTATCAGAACATAGCAATGCTGAAATGGGCCGGAAGTTACGTCAATTCCAGAACTTGGTGGGGTCTCTCTCAAGCGGTTCGCAATTCTACAATTGGAACATCTTTGGACGAAATGATTCAGGTCCACGAAGCAAGCCGTACATCTGCCGAGATCCACCCACTGCCCAACGTTCGTCGCATTATCTACAATACCATTGGCGAGATTCCACAGCTCCTACGAAGTGGAGCATCTTCATTGCCCAAGCCTATTCTCAGAGCAGATGCAGCCCCATTTATACCCACTCCTCAGAATGAGGAGGTGATGAATGAGGAGCCCTCCGTCGAAGGAGACGGCCAGGCGAATGAATTATCGGAATCGATGGAGGTTTTGGACTCGGAGGATGAAGCTGACCTCAATGATCAAGTATCAGGTGGTAACGATGGCATGGATGATTTTTCCCTTGCTGATGACGCCAACCCCGTTGACGCGGTGACAGTGCCACCGGATGAGGAGTTGCAGGCTGCCGGCTTCATTCTTGATGTATACCGTCGTTATGCTCATCGGCGCAGTCGGGCCGAATCCCGCACCAGTCCCGTTTCTGCCATTCGACAACGAGTCATCGCCTCCTTCCAAGACAATTCAACGGCGATGACATGGCCATTCAAGTACTACCGGATGCTGTTTCTTGGACCACTTCCTCATGTCTTCGTCTGGCTGGAGTGCGCGCAGGATTACCTACACAATTCCAAGAATCAAGCAAAGAAACGATTGAAATCTGCCATGCACCGTGACCTAGAGGATGTAAGAGAGGAGTTGACCAAGATATCGTACGTTTGTTACCAAGCTTCACGCGACGTTGTTGACTCCTTAGTTGAAAATTTGCTCTGCAGACAACTCATGAAAGAAGTAAAGCGCCTACAGAAGGCCCTACAACCAGAGTCAGATCTACATATCAGACGCGATCTGGAAGAATTGAAGGCTCGTGTTCTAGAGGTCGAACAGCTGGCGCACCGTTTCCCGTCGGGTGTTACATCGGAGTGGCAGGAAGACTTGACGCTGGCGATGAAGGGGATTGTGAAGACTAAGCCGCTGCCGGTGAAGAAGCCGCTGCCGAAACTCAACGTTGACGACCTAGCTGATTATGATGTATGACTCTGGCTTCAGGATGGACACTAGTCCCCTTTTCTTGTCTGCTCCAGTGTCCAGTGTCCTTACTGCGGTGGTACAATTTCTATGATGATAAATTTGGAAAACAGCATACTTACTTAACAAGTTCCTACTAATGTTTCCGGCACAGGGGATGCGTGCGAGACGCGCATACCTCATACCTCAGTAGCTTTACAACGGATCCCGCGAATGAACGATCCACATAACAATTATATAGAATGCGGTCCTGAGAAGCACATCAATGCAGAATGTCGCTGAGCTACGATACAACGTGTCTATTCGAACTTTTTGCAACAACAAAATCTGAGGCTTGAGGCCGCAACCCACAACTCGTCGGACACGTAAAGATTGCAAACATAGTGTCATACTCAAGACTCTTGTACATAGTTTCCTGGAAAAATGAAAACCAGCAATCGATTGTTGTCCACTCATGAGTTCTGTAAAAAAAAACTCACCAGGGAACGTCCCCTGCCTATTGCCAACCCTCCCCGTCCACCAATCCTCGGCGCTGTCTGTACGCTCGACTACCTCAATGCGGTCGCCCGCCTTAAACTCAAGGTCGCCCTCCGCTTGTGGACTGAAATCGTACAACGCCACGACGTACGATGCAGCTGGCTTCGGCTTCGGCTTTACTGGTGGTGGGGGCGGTGGGGCCTTCTTGATCGGCGCGGAGCCCATCGCAGGGGACGCAGATGGCGAGTATGGCGGCGGAGGCGCAGAGAGGCCCGCGCTGGGAGGTGGAGGAGGTGCTTTCTTAGCGTAAGAAGAACCTATGCTGGAAGTGGTAGTGGAGGTTGGTGTGCGACCGAGGGACGGGGCAGATCCTGGTCCTCCTGCAGCGCGATGGGCTTGGACAAGTTTGGCTGAATGTCCGCCGAATCAGTAAGCAGAAATTTGGCACACGCGGCAATAGACGTGAGCTTTTACGAGCACTTACAAGTTGATACGAAGCGTTGACAGATGTGCAATGCCTCAATATTCTCCCATGCATCAGTTCGCTTCGTCTCGTACTCTGATGCAATCTCGGCGCCGCTTATAGAGACGTCATATCTTCCCTCTGCGAAGCCATTAAGCTTCTCGAGCATGAGGTAGAATACGTTCAGCCTATGTATTGAACGCCGAAAACAATTAGAGACGAACGACTAGAAGTAATTGAGCTCTGGAGGGGCTGTCAGCACACTTACTGCATATAGAAGAAGGAATGGAATAGAGGATCAATGAACTGGGTAGCTTGCATCAAAAAACGTGGAAGTTCAGTCTTGAGAGTGGAATTGATATAGTCATACTCGTTTGATGCGACTTCAAAATCTTGCTCGAGCTAATTTCGGAATCGAAGCACCAGAAAGGTGCGCACGATTATTGACTCGAACAATCAGGTCCAATTAACGCTAATTGGGGACCAGTTCGTACCTTGAAAAGATTCCTTTCGTCGTTGAGACTTTTCTCCTTCTTGTCTCGTAATTTCGTCAACGAGTTATTATACCGATCGTAGTCTACGAGCTGATTGGTATATCAGCACAAGACGTGATTAATAAGCGCACACGCCGATGCGAAGATCGTCCAACAACATCCAGAACGCAATAGCCCGCGCGCTGCTTGTACCACATGCGCTCATGACGACCTTCGAAAATGCTTGAGCATGCACACCTTATGTTCACGTTTCGTGATCGTTTTCCTGATTACTTTCATGATGCTCTGCAGTTCCTTCACAGGGCCTACGATCCTGCTCTCGATCAGCTCCAACTCGGGGACGATCGCGGCTTTCAGTTCCTGCAGCGCGGACTCGTATGAATCTATGTTCCGGACAGTATGCTCGGATTCTGGGTGTTTCCCGACTATATCGTACTCTCCAACCACGGGATGGAAGATTGTCGTAAAGTGCTGTGCGAAGCCGGCGCCATACGTGAAAAGGTTTGATACCGATTCGTTGTAGACCTTGGTATCTTTGAGAAGTTTCTCGGTAGCGGTTTCGATGGCTGCAAACCGTCGAGCGTAGTCGTCAAATTCGGGGTCGCTGGACTCTGCGCAGAGCAATCAAACACAGGGGATATGAGACAAGGTGCAAGATCAAGGTTCGTGATTGAACCACGATGCATATATTTGGCTGAACTGATAGCTCACTTTTCGACATGCCGACCTTGGTGGTCAGCATATGCGGTGTCCTTCCGGAAGAAATGACCACATATAAGTCCGAGCGCGGAGAGCTCTCGTAAGAGATAATTAGGAGACCCACCGAGCGAATGCCTTCGTGATCCCCTTCATGGATAGATATAAGCCTAAGAGCGAATCGTAAGTCTAAGGAAAGCGAGTAGAGTCCAACAAGCTAGTTTGTCGATAAGAGCGATGTCGGAAGAGAAATAACACAATGATAAGGGGATGGCGAACGACCTCGGCCAGTGCGGGTGCGCCGGATCTCTCGCTGCGGGCTATGCCCATCGGGCGTCTAAATGCACTTAAGTCAGCAATATCTCGACGCCCTCTTCCGGCAATCCCAGATGGCATTTTGCTCATTGGAGTCACTGCTTCACCCCACTATTGACAACGGCTCCGGCTCCGGCTCCGGCTCCGGCACCACTAAGCAACTGACTCCAACAACTAAGAGCTGCACTACTTAAGTTTGAATCTAGTTGACTTGAAACCCATTATCTGAGACTCTTGAACCCTAACAACGCAAGAATGCCAATCAACCAACCTTCAAATCAGATCAAGTGTGATACATGTTTGCTTGGTGGTATACACATTCAAACGTCTAACAAGACGCGTAAATTTCTTTCAGACTCACAAATGTGTCCGTAGTGCGGCTAAAGAAAGGGGGGAAACGGTTCGAGGTGGGTTACAATCTGCCACTTCAATAAATCCTAACGCATACCGGACTTGCTAGGTTGCCTGCTATAAGAATAAAGTGCAAGAATGGCGTAGCGGAGTGGAAACCAATCTCGATGATGTCCTTCAGATAGCCAACGTATACATTAACGTCTCCAAAGGAGAGCTAGCTAAGAGCCAAGATCTACAGAAGGCGTTTGGAACAACCGACGTAGATAGGATTGTAAGCGAGGTTTGTAAGACGTTCGTTAATCTTTCGAAGATCTCGTTTAATGCCATCCTTCCGTTTCTTAGATTCTCAAGAAGGGTGAATTACAGGTTGGGGAGAAGGAGCGTGAACATGATCTTTCGTCTATCCGACGGGAAATTGCTACCCTCGTTGCGGAGAAGTGTGTTGATCCAGCGACTCAGCGACGGTATCCAGTTGGTATTATCGAGAAAGCGTTGGTCGATGCAGGATTTAGTGTACGCCCAGGGAAAAATGCGAAGAGCCAGGTGAGCTCTAACCTGCAGTCCATTATTTTATTTTATCTACGTGCAATCCTGATACCCTGGGATCTGTAGGTTTCTGAATGTATCAAACTTCTCCAGACAGAATCAAAGCTGCCCATACAGCGCGCGCGTATGAGAGTATTCATTACTATTCCTGTGGCGGACGTGGAGCGCGTCAAGAAGCGCGTCATTGAAAGCGCAGAGATTGTCGAGAAGGACGAGACAGGCGCAGAGCAATGGGAGACGGTGAGGGATCTTCGAAGCCCAGATTCCACCTTCACTGATGGTCTATCTGCAGATTCTCTTGATCGACCCGGGTCAGTTCCGTGTTCTTAACGACCTATTACAGAAAGAATGCGCAGGAAGGGGGCGGTTGGAAACTTTAACTTTTGCTACCACAGCCGGCGTTGGACCTGCACCAACGGTATAAGGACTTGCCTTCTGTTCATCAATTTCGTAGGTGTAAAGTATCTTTTGTGTATTCTCTGTAGAACCTTGTAGCATTTCAGGATCTTCAGGCCGATCATGTAGGATGTTGAGATGCACGCACCACTAACTACTATATCCTTAGCCATACACACGTGACAGTAGCCCACTCCAATTTTCGTCCTCATGTTTTCCTTATGCGCTGCTGCCAATCTGCGGTACAATTTTTCCGGGGCGTAGTCGTATATCACACTTGAAGGGAGCGACGTGGCTACAAGCAACATTAGATGTGTCTCTTGCAACCCACGCAATGGAGTAGCTCACCTGATAATTCCAGCGAGGAACTTTAACTCAGGCAAAATCTCCTCCCCGGTCTCCATGCGTGCCTTGCGAATGTCCATCGTAGCTAGAATACTTGCGGCCGCTATCCAGACGCTGCTGTCACCCAAAATGCGGCCGGGGCAGGTTCTGTGTGATGCAACCAATGAATTCAAGTAGCGAGTGCGCTGGGCAGAATGCATACCGTCGACCGAAACCGAAGATAAGTTTGCGCGGATCGAGCAAATCGGCTGCCTCGGTGTCGACTTTTTCAAATCGCTCTGGCCAAAATCGTTCGGGGTCAGGATAGCTCTCCGCTTTCCGTGTCATAGCCCTGCGTTTAGCCTGTGGTCAGTTTGGAAGCATGAGCTACGAAGGAAACACAGACCAGATGTTAGCTATGACAGTAGATCCGGCAGGTAGGTAGTATCCACAGTACTCATCGTCTTCAATAAGTTTGTGGGGTATTCCTTGACGTAGACCGCATCAGTAAGGGGTATCGTGGATACAGCAGATCATCTTACCGAGGGGCACAGGACACCCCCATCTTTCATACACAAGTTCGTATAGCTCAATTCAAGTTGGCTGCGAGGCGGAAACGACGTACCGATATACTTCCTTCAGAACGCACTCTAAATAGGGCAAAGAATCTCTATCATTGAAGTCAGGCAACCGAGAGCCTCCGATCACTCGATCAACCTCTGCTTGCGCCTTGAGGAAGATATCCGGATGCAAAACCATAGCAAGGATGAATGTCGATAGACTCATGATGGTCTGTACGCCTGCGTCAACATCGTCGCGATGATATAATTCGAGTAAAAATCCGAACCGTGTCTGCACCAGCTATTCAGTCACTCATCAGAATTGCTGACCTAATGTAGATTGAAACCGAGTGCGTACCACCATATACCGCAGCCGCAGCCCCTTTCATATTTTCCACATGCTCGGCAGTCATACTCTCAATATTAACGTTTTCTTCGAGGATGGACACCATCAGCGATGGCTTGGCAGATCCAGCAACCTACATCATGGTCAATTGTAATGTTCAACTGGGAAGGCAAAGAGTAAGCCTTACCACGTTCGCCTTCACTTTTTCGTACGGGATGTCCAACATTTTCCTCAGCATCTTCGCTGTCTTCATCGAGTTCATTCTGAAGCCAGACCCTGGAAGCCATGTAGGCCAGTACTTGACTGTCATTGGCGCGGTCAGTGAAAGGACCTGTCGTAACAATTGGATATTTGATTGCACTTACTGATGGGGAGGAAGTCAACCAATGTCGTCATTGCACCTCCTGCCTCAACGGTTGCCGTCATTGCCGTGTCCGCCAGATGCAAAAACTCGTCATCCAAAGACGTTACAGTCTGTCCATAGGCTACCTCCATCATCAGCGCCCCTGCGTACCTGGGAAATATCAAACGAGATGGCACGCATGCGCAGAATAGATGACGAACTGCTTGATATGCGACATGAAAGCATCGGGTGTCGCGCACAACAGCGACAATAAATTTCGGGCCTCCCGCAGATGGAAAGGGCGGTAGCGCTGAACCGTGTTTTTTGACTGGAAGGCTGACTGGAACCATTTACGTTGCTGGCGCCATTCGTTCCCATAGTGCATGAACGGCGTGCTCGTGCCCATGTCAAGCCTGAGAGGTGGCCTATTGTCAGGAATCACATCTTTTGGTCGCGTTCGCGATCGTGGGCTCACATGTCGTGTATGAATACAGAGTGTGGCCTGTCGGAGTATTTTGCCCCCCGCTTTTCCATGAGATCTTGGGCAGCCTGAACAGAATTGAGGATTATTGCAGATTGATGGAACAGCCGCGCGTGAACAATGTCGCCTGTGTGTTCGAATGGATGCCTCGTTAATATAAGTCCGAAGTATATTGAAGATCTATACCATATCTCTCTGCCCAATCAGTAAAGGTTTTGAACTGATATTCCAATGGTATTTGATGCACATTTCCGATCAAGGGAAGAGGCTTTGGGCCTGGGGGATACCTGTGAAATTGCGTACCACTACTAGTCCAATTCATGAAAAAAACTGCGAAGAGCAAAATCAAAGCAATCCAGAGGCATATCGTAGGGATACCTGGGGCGAACATCGTAGTACTCGTTTCGTCGGATGAGATCCGGGCCTTTTGAACGCTTGCATGTAAGTATCCTCAGAAATTGTGGCGCAATTTAGGCTGAAACAAGCGGGCGAGCCTGATCCTCCTGGATTCCGTAACCATTGGAGTCGACTTTGATCGTCATACGTTATTGCGATTTACTGAAGGGCACAGCTCAGTCCATCCGGATCAGTAAACTCGCGAAGACTCCCAGTATTTCATACTCTTCAGCACTCGCAGCAGTTCTTGAGTGCCGAGCTATTCAATCTTCATAGTGACGCTGAGACCATAATCCGACTGACTCTAATGATCAGGTCCAACTAAAAGATTGTATATGAGACATTGGATGACTTCCCGCAGCCGCAGGAAATCTAGAGCTGAAGGTTCCAGATAATAATTCAAATTGTCCACTCACAAGCATGTCGTCAGGAACGCACTTCGACTCATCAAAATTAGAGTGCTGTTACGAAGTGGGAGTCGCCTGTCTATCGGCATTTGTAATATTTACGGCGCCACAAAGCGGACAATCAACATTGTCTCAACTTTTGGAGCCGGTGTGATTTAGCGTTGGGCGCTTAATATGAATGCGAGGCGGCAGACCCAGTAAATCCAGGCTGTCTTCGATCCTTTCAGTCAGCCAAGTTTCAAGTCGTATGGAAATAGGAACTGGCCTGCTCAGACAGTAGTAGTAGTGGCTTGCCCGCCACAAACCCGATCAGCGCTTATGGATGCCGTGCTGCCGCCGGGTATTGCCAATGGGCCCCGATGGAATCTATCTACGACGACTCAGTAAGTGCGATCTTCCCATATACTGGCGGTGCCCGTTGTTTCATCTTATAGCTGTGTATTTTCCAAGCGATCAGGCTCAATGAGCCTGAAAAACTCTCGCATCTCTCAAGAATTTTCCACTTACGATATCGTGATATCCATGTTGCCATCATGGGGATGTTCAACGACTTCTAGGCTTTCAGCCCCAGTGGAAAGTGACATTAATTAAATCGAGAGACTGGGTCACTCAATGAATTGCGTTGAAAACGCGTGAAGAAAGCTGAATTATGTATTTCATGCCAATTTGGTTCATCTCATTTTTTCTCATTGAATGACACAGTTCCTTGTTCTAATTCATGTCGATTCTCACCGGGTTTCAGCCGGCACCGGCTGGTCACTTCCTGATCCTGAAACACACACTTTTGTATGAACATCAGCGCGTACAGAAGATTATTGTATGTCGGCAAGACTTACTCCCCGTGGCGTGTTAGTTCACTTATAAGAAACGAAGCTAATAATATGGAATGTCCTACAATTTACAAAGCCACCTCGCACAGAAGATTACCGCCTATTGAAACGCATTCCTTCACGCAAAGGTGTTCTAGCCCTGTATTCAATATGCACTTCACGGATGCTACGCGGACGTGGGATCACCTCGGGGCTGTGCGAGGATCCGTATCGATCCACTGGGACACGACGAGAGCGCTTACAATATTCGCATCAGGATACACCGCATGCACATTCCAATCTATCATACCAATTTCCGGCTAGCGGAGAGGTAGGAGCGCCTTCCTACTCAAAGGTACATCAATGGTTTACTTTATTACATGTGATTTGCATGCTGAAGCACTGTAATTCAAAGCGCTGGCTCCATGGGTGACTGTATGAAGCAATGGTTCCACCGACGCGCAAGCTGGATGAACTGCGTAATCTGTCTCCGGCGCTGATACCGGAGCTTCAGCGGGGTATATTCATTGTCTGCGTTTGGTTCCTTGATTTACTATATTCCGCCAAGCCCTTCCGGCCTGGAGAGGACAAGCTCGGTGACTTCTTGACTCCGCTTTTGAGGTTAATATTCACCTCGGACGTTGAACCGGCCTGCTCATTATCACATAAGGCGTACACCCCGATCGCATGGTACCGACCTCTTCCGCTATTGAGACCCGAGGATGGAACATATGCTCATGGTGGAATTCATGAAAGACGACGGTGCGGACTCCAGCTTGAAGGGTATTTCTTTTACGAGGTGGGTCGACTCTATTGTAAGAAACCCATTGTCTGACATTCAATTTGAAGGTCCACCTAGGCATATCTTTTACAGCAGGATCGACGTTGATATTGACGTCCTCTGTGTTTTTTTTTGGATGACATGTGGCTTACTTGTGATTCATGCAAGATTGCAAAAATATTCTACACTACACGGTGCCATTCTTCCCCGAGGCTGGCTTCTCAGAGTTATAAGAAGCCTAGAGAGGTCAACGTGCAGAAACACGGATGTATTACAGCAATATTCAGAGCCTATCGTTGACCTTCTTGAGCAGTTATACACTGGAAAGAATCCTGGTTGGCTCTCATTCTCTCTATGTTTAAAGTATGAGCATTCATATGTCACACAAGTAATCTCTTGTGTGGAGGCAAAGGCCTTGAAGGAGGGTTCATTGTCATTCAGATTATGGTCCTTGCAGTGGCAAGAATCTCAACACTCAAGCAGTCTCATGCTTCTCGCGGACTGACTCTTCTATGCGCTAGATGCGAGAATCTCTGCGTTCATACGTAATCTGAAGGCATTGTCGAATGCGCTGTTCATGCTTTGTTTACATAGTAGGCTGCAATATGTTTGATGCAGAGTTACAGACAATGATTCTGACGACGATTGCATCGCTTTCCACGGTGTGTGTGGTAGCGAGTATCAGGGCTCAAAATTCGGATGCGCGGCATGGAGCTGAGTACACCGAATCATTCGAATTTAGGTACATCAATGCAGCTAGCTGAGAAGATCTCCTCCGAATCATGTGATATCACTCGGTCAAAGGAACCACTCTAGATGAGACAAACTGCGTTCAGCAGCTCAAGGCAAAGTACAGCTCACGAATATAGCTGCATCCTAGCACTCGCTTGATCGTTTGCAAATCCGTGGAAGAGATCCCCACTTTATTGACGTCCAATACCCTGCTCCACATCGCGTCATCAATATCGGGGATCCACATCGAAGCAACATGCTGCCACCATCGGAAGAAATCCTAATCAGGGTTACACCACTAATCAAAAACAGCCCACAGAGGGCTTGCTCGGTGACTACATGCTTGAGCAACTACTGATACAACGAAGACAGTGTCGCTTCCACAAGCAAACGAAATACTACAGGACGATCACATCAGTGAAATTGAGGTGCACGCGGCTCGAGCAACCTGGAGAGTTGTCAAGCGATATCTCCACTGTCGCTCCCGAAATGCGGATTCCACGGACGACCTGGGACATCTTTGGGCAGCATGTTTGAAGGCGTCTGTAGATATCTCGTGGCCTCGCGGATCCTACAAACTGCTCTTTCTAGGATTTGTTTCCGATCTTCCCGTTTCGCTGAAAAGCATCGAGCAATATGCACAATCCTTCGTCGATGAATCGCTTGCACAGCTGCACAACATACGACACGAAAATCTGGAGAAAGTTCAGGTTGAGTTGCACGATATGATGTACGTGGCGATAGCAAAACAAATAGCATGGTTTACGAACGCACCACAGGGTATTGTTGGATGAGGCTTAGCGGCTGCAAAGCACCATGCAACCTAAAGTAGACGTGCGTGCCCAGAGAGATCGAGTGAAGCTGAAGGAATATGCTCGCGGGGTTCGGACTTTCGCCTTCAGTAGATGCTAGTTTGTCCAGGTCGGCGTGCGGACGGCAGAAGGACCTTGAGATCGCAGTAGAGGGAATACTCGGAGTGGCTAAGAAGTCTAAGCCCATGCTGCAAGTGGAGGATGATTTGGATTATGAATGAGACATGCGAAGCATTTGGGTACCCACAGATTGTCCTATAGCTCGAATAGGTGCTTTATTGATGGTGTGATGGCTAATGTGTGGGATTTTGATCACCAGTAGGTGGACAAAGTCAGACTGGATCCAATTGGAAAAAAACTTAACTCCCCAGCAGCGGCAGACAAGTATAGACTTAATAAAGTAAGCTCGGCGCTGTCAGGAAGACGTAATCAACCAACCTCGTTTGCACAGACGCAGCAATTTAAATCCTACTCAACGGCCCAAACATGCATAATAATAATAAGGTACGAGATATGCACTACGAACACACTGCGAGCGCGAGAGCAAGATTAATATCCGATACATCCTACTGTAACCGAGGATTAGCAACTGTCCACAGCGTAGAATATCCTGATCCATTCCATAACTTTACAAGAATACAGGCGGAGTCCAAAAGAGGTTATCGCCGCGACCTTGTGCTCCTCGTCAGTGTCGTCCGAGAGGTCTCCAGTTTTTGCTTGATATCCGCGTAGCTCTCCCGGTCGACGCGATGTATAAAATATGATCCACCGCCACTTCCCCAGGAGACACTGCCTGTTGAATAATGCCGCTCAGTGACTTTGAAAATAGCACTGATGTCGTCAAGCTGGAACCATGATTAATACTAGGGTCTTGCAAATGGAAATGCGACGTACATTTCGTTCAGTCAGCCGCGATGACGAAACGAATGGCTTAAGGGATACGACAATGGCGCCCTCTTTCAAGTCTAAAAACTTTGGCCGCAACGCCTCATTTACTATTGAAGTAATAGGGCGTAAGGATCCTGCGAACACCCGAACAACGAAATTTATACTTACATGCCTCTAAAAAGACCTTGTTATTCACAAGGACGACGTCTGCTTTCGGGACAAGGTCGTCGACTTTTTTACTCTTCAGCATATCGCCTTCCTCCAAATCTACTTCGCCCATGGGTACACCCCACATCTGGCATCTCATCCGAAGCTGCTCCAATTGGCTACGTGCGATTTTCGCAGGTGTCGGCATGATCTCTATACCAAAGCTCCGGCATCCCGTCTGCAGACTGGCCTGTAGGACAACGTTGCCAACACCCGAGCCGAGATCAACGAAAAGCGAGTCTTCTTTGAGTCCTGTAGTTTGGATGATCTGTGCGATTAGTGAAGGCATGAGTTCGCCATACACCTCCGACGAGAAGGCTTCGTATCGCTTCAATTCGGCGACATGGGGGCCAACAGCACGCTGATACGTCTCATCAATGATACGTGTTACTACATCCTTTGGTATGTTAGTCCATGACCGAGTCGCTTCGGATAAACAGTTCGACGAGAGCGGCTCAAATGGGTCTACAGGGAGTGGGGGGTGCTTAAGAAGCCGCAAGAGCGTGTTGATCGCAGCCATAACTTTGAGGAATAGCGGCCCATCCTTCTTATTAATTGCACGTTGGAGGAGTCGAAGGTAATTCACAGACGGCTGAATGGAAGCTGAAGGTTGAGATCCGGGTGGAGAAAATTCCGCAAGTGATGAAAGCATTGAGATCGACGATAGCGAAGACACAGATGATGCAGATGATGTAGATGACGTGGAAACGGCAGATAGTGAGGTCGAGGATGAGGATAATGATGTTAACGAAGAATCAGATGACGAAGACGCTGGAGAAGGCGCAGAAGACAGTACAGAAACAGAGGGCGATGATGCGTCAACGACCTCGGATATGGACAGGAGTGGTACAGCCGATAATGGTCCCGGAGGATCGTCGTTTACAAGAGATGTTGAAGGTAGAGTCCCAAATAAGGACTGCTGTGCCGGAGTTAAATAGCCTGTAATTCCGCTAAGCAAAAGCGCATGCAAAGACATGAACGGTTTCTTACAACGAATAATAGTATGCAGTGAAGTTTCTAGGCACATAATGGGGTTGTAATGGTCCTTGTCCTTAGGGACGAGTAAAATAAATCTGGGGAGCAATATATAGGCGCATTCTAATATATACACTTGTGTACTAAATCTCACCTCTCACATGCGCCGCTGTTCGGGTATTCTAATTCTATCACAGGGTATTCTGTAGGATGCGCCTCGAACGTCCTGTCGTTTGGGTCAGAAGGGTTGGAGAAATCTACCACGGAATAAGTCTCGTGAGCGGTGAGAGTCAAGAAATGGCTGAATGCAACGCACAAGTTTTATATGTTTTCATAAGACTTCGTACCACACTCTCCGAAGAAAAGAAATTAGGGCCAGGACGATACGCCTTGCCAATCCAGCAATCACGGGAGAGCGGGGCCTCGGTAGGAAAAACTGAAGTTGAGCGCGATCTGCTCTCAGCCTCAGGCTGCGGATGCATCGATGATCGCGCAGCTGATGGTTGACGGCTTGAATGTCGGCTGGAGGCTGGAGATCTCGTGGAGAGAGATGCACGCGGTTCTAAGGACGCCTCTCTCCGCTCCCCAGATGGAGTCGAGACGCGTGGTTTCTTCGTCGCGTTTCCAGGTAGGACATCAGGGGGCTCAATTTTTCGTTTATTGCTCGAGTTCAGACCAGAACTCGCTGCAGCGATGAGTGGTGTAGAGGGACGAGCAGCAAGCTTGAGCGCCCCTGGAGGCTTCGGGATAATTCGCTCGACCGCGACAACACGCGTAGTCACGGCTACAGAAGTCGTGCTCGACGCGCCAGATTTTGCGAACTTAGACTTTGAGAAAAACCCAAGGTCAGAGGACGAATGGCGAGGGGCAGCCATCGGCTCGGAGGGAGGGAAGAGACTCGGAAGGCGCGTCCGTGGATGTCGGCGTGCCACAAGGCTCAACCCGACTCTGTGCTGCACGTGATTTATCCGCATATGGCAATCATACTCACCTCGACCACGTGGGTTATTGAGATCGGCCTCGCAGCGCTTTGCAGTTTTCAGGCTTGATCTACACTTACCTCTCGCTTGCATACACGCTCGGCAGAATGACAGCCGACGTCTTCAGCGAAGACACTGCCCAGAATTCTGAGGAAGCGTTGAAGCAAGCCAAAAGAGATAAGCGGAAACAGAAACATCGCAACGGAGGAACTGGTGGTCTGTATGTTGCGTACTGCTTCCGCGAATTCGCTATATTCATATTCCATGAAATCTGTCATAGATGACAAAATGGAGAAGAAACAAAAAGTGAAACATGGGTCACCGGAGAGACACGCTCCCATGGACGAGGATAGTTCAGCGGCTATGGACGGTAAGCATACAACATTCCTACTTAGTGCAAGAAGTCCCAATGGCCGAGTGTGCTTTTAGGAAAGACGAAGAAGCGTAAGCGCGAGCAACTTTCAGAACCAGGCGAGATGAAGCCGGCTAAAAAGGAGAAGAGAGAGAAGAGGGAGAGGGAGAGGAAGGAGAAGAAGAACAGTAAAATCGCTGCTAAGGCTCTCGAGCTCGCTGGAGCAGAAGCTGCTGGGGCCATTCCGTCAGAAGAAGAGCAACCGCGCGAGCGTGATATCGATGTCATGAAGACGACAGCGGCTG